CAGATTCGTATCTGATTCAGGACCACATAGCCAAGTGGCCTGGGTCGGATTGGAAAAAATTGGATCTGTGTTGTTCAGAGAGCCATGAAAAGATCAGATCTAGGTAGCATATGGGCTAAAAAAATCGGATTTGGGTCACTTCAGGCTGGAATGTGAACATAGCCTAAGAGTCTGGGAGGAATGAAACTCTGATGAAGCTTTAGCTATGATGGTGGAGGAGGTGCTGGAGGTGGGTTGAAATGGTGTGATCTGAATGAAGTCACACAGCGCATCCACAGCCTGCGCACAAGAGCAAACAAGTGCGCATCCGAGGCCTTTTAAGATAAACTTTGGATGCCAATTGGCTTTCATGGAGGTGTGGTTGTAGCTGATTGCCTGTGTCTCAGATGGATGTAGGAGAGCAATTAGTTTCTTCAGCTGAACTTCCACCTAGGCTCCATATGAAAATACCTAGATATTTTACCTCTAATTTAATATTTATATTATTTAGGGATTACAATGTTGGATTGTGTAATGACAATAGTTCACATTTATTTACATAAATTGCTTTATTAAATCTAAAGGGAATGGAATTTGTACTTCATTTTTTTAAAGAGTGGAATCATCAGCTAATTAGCTAATTATAATTTGTTAATTCAACACTGAGAAAAAAATTTTTTAATCACTTTTCATAAAACAGATTCAAAGTAATTCAGCACCCAGAATAAACAATAATGGGGAACATCCACAGCCTTGTCATATATGTCTTTAAATAAAGTACGCCTACTATATGTAACTGAACTATTTATGCCTTGCCAAATCCAAAATTATGTAGGGTTTTTTAAGTATAAATGTGTGATTCAAAGAATAAAAGTTTTGTAAAAATCAAAAAAAAAAAAGAATAAAACCTTCTTTTTGTATCAGTTCTTTATATTCTATTAAATCTAGTAATAATGTATTTATTATTATGAATGGAATGTCCCTTCAAAACCCTGACTGTGATTCACTAGTTAGTTCATAATAATAGTTAGTTAAGAACAGCTGAGAGGGCTTTTTTTTAAGTCAAGACTGAGAATATTTTATAATCGACATTAAGCAGAGGTATCGGTCTGAGGTTGCCCAGCAACCTTTGATCTTGATTTTTTTTTATCAGATTTGGGGATTATCAGCCCCTGCCTCATACTTGCTGTCAGTTCACCCTTTTCCAAACATTGCTCAATTTATTTAAACAAGATTTACCTGATATAAGCCCAGAAATGTTGGTAAGAATCGGTTGTGGGTCTGTCTGTTCCCTGGACTTTTATTCAGGGACATTTTGCTAATAGCTGCATCTAACTTGTTACTCCTAAAATCAAGTAGTTTCACATAACCTTTTAAAGGTTGTGGAGTAAGTTCTTTGATTTGTTCAAATAATGAAACATCAATGTTCCAATAAAACTCATAGATGGACTCATAGAGGGTAGAGTAAAATTTAAAAATCTCTTTTTCAATTTCCTTCAGATCTTTGCATTCTGTTGCATTCATTATGAGACAAGCTACTGATTTTCTTTCCTGTCTTCTTTTTTCTAACTTGCAAAAGTTTTTTTCACCCTCCTCTAACCACTTGGCTTTAGATCTTATGAAAGCGCCTCTAGCTTTTTTCAAATAAGTTTTATCTAGCTGATTTTGAAGCTGAATAAACCTGATCTTATCCTCATCGTTATCCTCCAATGAACCACAGCATTGTGAAATATCCCTCTGAAGGTTGCTTTCATAATGTTCTCATTTTCTTTCTGTATTTTTTGCTAAAATAAATCAAACATTTTCTAATTTCAAACACAATATATATTTCCAACTGTTAATATAATTTTTAAATGTTCCACACCTTTCCATACTCTGAACAATTTCTTCTGAACAGTAGTCCTCATTAATCAATAAACCTGCATTAAACTTCCAGTAGCTCTTCTTATTGTGTAATTTTATGGAGGGTTTTAGTGCTAGATTATACAGCTGTGGTCTGAAAGTGGTGCCTTAGAAATGGTTACAGCTGAAACATACTTGGCTATTTCGAAATCAACAATCCAATAAGTAATTCTAGATTCTTCATTCTACCAGGGCTTAGAAATATCCAGATATCAATCAGATTATTTCTCGCATGATATTACAGATAATCTCGTTGAGTCATTCCTTTCATCTGGACTCATATTCCCGCTTACAGGATTTTAAGCTGCATTATGAAATCAGTTGCATTGTCCATTAACATGATGTTTTTCAATTTGTTATTGTATCCATAGACATTTGTAATTAAAAAAAGTCAGTCTTCTGATTTTAAAACCACACGTATCCACTGACCAGCTAGATCTGTTTTATGTTATAAAATTTCCTTGATTTCCCTGGAAACCGGATAAAGGAGAATGCAACACTACCAGATTTATTTGAACCATGACTGAATAACGTCTTTTCGTTTCAGCCCTGTCTACTGAATGAGTTTTTGTAATAAAAAGCAGTGACAGTTTTCCCCTCTATGGAACAAAGAAGTGTCTTTCTTTTAACAATAATTTAAAGAACTGAATAAAAACGTATTAATCATAATGAAAACACAAAGAAAAAAAATGCCCAAACACAGTTATATGCTGAACTCCTCACCCTACTAACAGCAGTTAGCTTCTGTTACCAATAAAGCAGTGAGTAACATCAACATGTCCGTCCTGAGAACTTCTCCGTCTGGATCTGTTAGCCTTCTTCATCCTGAGACCCTCAATGAAGATGTGTGTCTGCTCAGTCTTTAGCCACATCTTTCTCCTTTCTTTCAGGTGTTCTTTTGGCATAATCTATGCAAACTGGATCACCGCTTTTTTGCAAACAGCCCAGCCTTTACTTCTCTTCCAGATGTCTTCCTTCACTCATCTGTGGGTGAAGAGAAAAATCACGTGTCATTTTCTGTTGTTGGTCACTGCATCTTCCATTTTTCCTTTTAGCTCAGTGAGAACTTTCTGAGGAATGTGAATGACTTTTGTACAGTTGTCCTCTCCCCCTCTTTCCTCCAAACCTCTGATGCACAGACGCCATCTCATTCGATATGTTTCTTATTCTGGCACTCGCTCTCTCAAATCAGAAACTTTTTTCTTTGTGAAAACCCTTTTTTGCTTCAATCTTTTCACAGTTTTTCTTTACATTCTTAAACCTCTTCTGCGTTGAAATGGACTGCCTTTGATAAACTAGCAAGCAGTGTGCTCCTCTGTCTCATCTGCTTCTTCAGATCTACAACCTTTACCTCCACTCTCTTCAAGATTAAAACGGCTTGAAGAATGGCTTCATTTGAAACTAGATTCACTCATTTTTATCTGGTTTTGTTTTCTTCCCTGCCTGAGTCTGCCTGAGTCTGGATGAGCAGAGTTGCCATCACGCTTCCGCTTGTTAACCCTATAATGCCAAATGTATCGTATTTGATACATACGGTTTCTGAAATGTTTTGCATATGACACCTTTTGCATAATTTAATGGTACAAATTTTGCTCAAAATCCTATTGTACACAATCAGGTATACCTGATAACAGCCAGTAGAAGACTACACAAAAAATAATCTTGACTTATCGCATAGTAATACATTATTAATATCAAAAATGTATTTCTGTTTTTTTCTTTTTACATTCTTTGTTAAAAGGGCAAATAAGGAATTCAAACCAAAAAAAAGTAATTTTCTGTTTTGTTTTATTCTTGGGTCAGGCTTTAAAGGGTTAAACTGGGAGACCTCCGTCGCAAAGTCACGTACCACATTCCTACCAACATGGTCGGGTTTGGGCTCTTTCAGATTCTCTGGAGTTCAGTTTGAATTTGCAGTTTTCATCACTTTCTGAACCTCCATCAGTAAAAGGAGATGGCTGGAAAATTACAAAATGCAGGCAAAATTTTAGGACCTTTGTAGTTTTGTGTGGAAGGGTTAGTGTAACCCTCCTCTAAGTTGCTTAATGTCGGTGAAAGTGATGCAGACGCCCTCAGGCCATGACAGAGGTGTCATTCAACTAGTTATAAGTTTACGTATAGGAACAAAAATCATGAAAATATTTGATGAGGGTTAAAAAGTTACTTAGTTATGGTTTAAAGGTGTAGGTGTAGTCTCATGAATATTTCAAAAGACCTACCCTCTCCACTTAAAAAAATGCACATGCACAACCCTGTACCTGCTCCCGAGAGAGAACGCCTACAGTATTAAACACCTGTAAGAGCATGCACAAGCCCATTTCTTCTCGTTTTACTAGCAGGGATGTGAAATGGATTTCTCCAAATAGCATGCCAAACTTTACATGTCGACTAGAAACTGTAACTGAGGCATCAGTGGGAAGCCGGACCCATGCTTTCAGTGTACACCATCTCATAAAAGAGTCTCCCAAAAACACTCGGGTCTTGTTTCTCTTTACTGAGGCCTTTCTCTTCTTCTTATACACTTCGTAGACACATTTTCTCTTACGAACCCTCTGCCATTTTCAAAGAATGAGAAAGCGAGTTTCAATGACTGGCTCAACTGTAGCTCACCACAGATATATGCCTGAAAGTGCGCATGTGCATAAAAAGATAGCTACCTAAGGATGAGCACATAGGACAGCCTTATGTAAACATATCACCAGAATGATTGACAATTAGAAGGACCACTTATTTAGATGATCCACCCAGAAAAAGAACATTCTCCACAAGTCAAATTCAGTTTAAAACTTTGTCTTAAGATACTTTAGAGAGACAATAAAACAATATAAAAACCATGTATCATATATCCATTATTGGTTTAGGGTGCAACATGAAAATCAGAGAAACAAAAAAGCTTAACCATTGCAGGGACATATATGGATGAAGACAACTGTAAAATGTTTAATTAGAAATTAATCTACTTTAAGGCAATATCTAAAGAAATGACTCAAGATTCTGGTTAACATTCTAATTGTTACCAACAAAATGACAGAGTTTAATGTTCCAACTGACAATGATGCTGGTGTGAAAGCTCTATTTTCCATTATTTATCATGTCATTTAAATGGGTCTTTGTTTCAGCTTGACTGTTAGAGGTGAGGAAGAAACCACACAGAGATCAACCTTTGAGCAGCGACCTGAGGAAAACTCTAATTGTGAAGAAAGGTAAGCCTCCATCCCTTCTTTAAAAATGACTTCAACAAAATCAAACCGTCAATAAAAACTTAAATGCTAGTTTATTTCCCAGCCTGAAACCCAATCTGGACGAAGCTCGTTCCTGGGCGGTGTTGTTTGAAAGGCTGATGAAAAGTGCAGCTGGGCGAAGCTGCTTCAGGCAGTTCCTAAGGACGGAGTTCAGCGAAGAGAACATGATGTTCTGGCTTGCCTGTGAAGAGCTGAAAAAAGAAACCAATAAGACTGTGGTTGAAGAGAAAGTCCGCCAAATATATGAGGACTTCATCTCTATTCTTTCCCCTAAAGAGGTGAGACACAGAGGACATGTCACTCAGGTCTAACATTATGTCTAATATGGATAAATTTAGAACAAAACTCATTAGGAAATAATTAGACACAAAATGAATCATCTAATGAATGAATTATGTAGTTATTAAATGATTCAGTCTGGGGATTCATCTGCCTTGCTGTTTTTTTATCCTAATAGACCTCAAAGTTGGAAGATTTTCCACTGCAGCTTTACGTTGAAACATCAGTAGCCGTTCAAAATTCCCCACTTTCCTTTATGGGCCCTTGGCTGGCCCCCTGCAGTACCTTTTTAAACATAAATCTTTTTACTAAAATATACTGTCATGATTTGTGGACATTAAGATCTAAAGAGAAGTGCCTTCTGCTGGTCAGACCCTGTAATTCAGTGAAAGGGTGGAATCAGAGTGAAGAATCTTCACACCCAATTGGTGGAAGTTGGAGGGCATTTTGCTGAGAGTTGCAGGGAAGTGGGCTGCCATTCGGTTGGCATTTGACTGAGAAGGGCCTTTTTTTATGGCTGCTACTGTAGTCTTCCAGACTATTTTGGAGTCTTTCTGGGATTAATAAATTGAATAACAGATTAGTCTCAGAAATCTGTTACTGTAACCATAATGTAAATGGCCAGAAACCTGGATTAATCAGTTTGTGCAGCAATGAAAGACAGAAAACAAAAGAGCTAGATTCCTACTTCCATCCGTTTTAGCATGTTAGTCAGACCATCCCACTAATACCACCATCTTTGTCTTGTTAAAAAGCTTCTTTTTTAAAAGGTATGATGGAGTATTCCAACGATAGTCACCTGTGTCCAAAACACAGAACTGCAGCGCTCTTCTGCTCGTTCTGGCAGCTCCTGCTCATACTTGACATCTTTTTTTTTTACATGGACGCCCTTGACACTACAACATTAGAAACAGCACAGGGACTTCCGACCCAAAGTACATTCAGAACAAATAGGCTACAGGCTTATACACTGCAAAAAATTTAAATCTAGATAAGTTAATTTTTACTTAGAATAAATGAATATTTTTCTTCAGTTGAGGAGGTAAGTGAGACACTTTGCCAATACAATAAGACATTTTACATTTAAAATAAGAAAAAAAAAACAATTGCATTGTCTTGTTTCAAGTGAATATTATCTAATTGTATTCTTAGAGTAAAACTACTCATTCATAATTAGCAAATCATCCTATTTTCCTACTTAAATTAAAGGTAAATACACTTAATTTAAGAAATTTTTACATATTTCTAGATCGTTTTTGTAGTGTAGATGCATCGGTACTTAACTACTGAGGTGTCTGTCGACTCATCAAATGACATTTGAGTCCTAAAGGTTCAAATAAAAGAGCTACTGTAAAGATATTTTTCAGTAAAAGCTTAAAAAAGGTATCCTTAATAAAACTGCTAACTCTTCCATTGATGCAGTTTTTTCCCAGTCTCCGTCTAACTGTTGAGTCATCAAAAGCGAAAAGAAGAAGCTGAGGCCTGCAGTGTTTTAAATGTTGTTCTGACCTCATGAATGATGAGTTTAATCTTTCCTTTGATTGGGTTTTTCTTCACCTGTTGACAATCTGTACAACTCAGATTTGTTGGATTCCCATAATCATAGAAACCAAACTGAGAGAAATCAGCAGGTTTTTTTTTTTTTTTTATATTAGTTATATCAGATTCTTCTGTTCAGTTGATCAGAGCTGATTAGCATTCAAAATGGCACTTCCTAATCAAAGGCCAGCCGAATGGCAGCCCACTTCACTGCAACTTCCAGCTATTGGGTGTGAATATTGTTTTACTGACTCCACCTTTTCACTGAATTGCAGGGTCTGACCAGGAGAAGGCACTTCTCTTTAGATCCAATCCACAAATCATGACAAAATATTTCAGTACAAATATTGATGCTTTTAAAGGAATTGTAGGGGACCAGCCAAGGACCAGCTACTGTATTTGGTTAAGTTCAGCATCACACCTGGTTTCTCATTCTCTCTGCCCTGCAGGTCAGCTTGGACTCCCGCGTGCGAGAGGTGATAAACCGCAACATGTTGGAGCCGACTTCGCACACGTTCGACGACGCTCAGCAGCAGATCTACACTCTGATGCAGAGAGACTCGTACCCTCGCTACATAAACTCCTCTGCATACACAGATCTGCTGAAGAGCTTGGAGGAGCCTCCCCCTGAGCCATAAATCCCCTTCACTCCCACCCACACCGTTAGCTTTTCAGCGCATGCATAAGCCCCCCCACCCCACCCTCGAAACACACACATACTTTTAAAAACGGGAGCAGCTTTTTGTGTAAAAAGGTCAGAGACCTGTTATTTATAGAAAGACAGACAGGAAAGTGAACGCAGCTGAAAACCAGTCTTTATCTAGAGGGTAGCTGCTGTTTATTTCTGCGTGATTAGTGGATTTCCAAATCCTTGACAGCAGCCGTGAACAAGGATGCTACGTTCAGCATCTGTTACTGTAATCGTTTAGACAAAAAAAAAAAAAAAAACATATCTATATTTTTATACATATATAAATATATTCCCTAGCGCTTGACATTGCACTTTTCTACCTTATTTAAAGCGGGAAAGCATGTATCTGTGAGCACTGCATTTGTATTTAGGTATATTGTGAGCCTAATGCATATTCAGTTCTTGTAGAAAACCTTTAGGTTTTATTTAAATGTACCTTAAGAAGAAAAGAAAGTGCCTTGGAACAACATCTTCTACACAAGCACCTTTTAGTCTGACGTGAACGGTGCGACATTGAGTTCACATGTTGGTGCTTTCAGCTCTTCTCAAAGAATAAAAAAAAGAAAGGTTTTTACAACTCGAGCTGATACCCAGAAATTTATCTTGTCTCTGTGTTTCAATACTGTGATATTAGTCATATATTTGATTTCAACAGAACAGGGAAAAATATGCTGAATTCATGACCTTAAACACTGATATATTTATGTATGATTAAAAAAATTGGGAATTTGTGTGAAATAGCTATTTGAATTCTTATGAATAAAATAAAGCACAATTGTATGTTCTTGATGACGTGAGCATCAACCAAATGTTAAGTGATTTTATTCATATTCCTATTAGGTAGACCAGGTAATCCATTTGAACATCTTACACAGATAGAAAATACAAATGATGTGCAAGAACATTCTGAATCTGGGGCTTAGAAAGATGTATTATGTTTCTGCTTCTAGGTTGGATTGACTATTCGTTTAATAATTAGTCATTCATTTAATTTTTTTTCATGACAGCTGGCTTGGATTTGAGATACACCTTCTTACCCTTTTGATTCAATTTTGTTTAATCAGGTTTTACCTTGACTACATGGAGTGTGTAGCCACCAACAAGCTTCTAGTCTCATTCTGTCTTATTTTACCTCTTTTCATGGCAGAATCTACCTAGCTGATTACACTTTGTCAAGCACCGGCTCAGACATTATCTATAATTGAAGTTTTTACTATAGGGTTAAGGTCCAGAAACCTAATGTTGGCCTGCTTATTCTCTTTCAAAAGTAGTTTGGATGATAAACTGAATAATTTATGATAAATGAACGAACAATAATTAGGATGTGTTTGGAATAATTCACACTGTTCAGCTTTCAGTCCTCCAACTGTTGATTTGAGACACTGATGGACTTTGAGTAGTCCCCACAGTATGATTCTGCCACCACCATGCTTAACAGTTGGTGGAATGTTTTTAGCTTTTAAAATGCAGATCTTGTCAATCTGGCCAAGTAGGTCAATCTAGCTCACATGGCAGTAAGCCGTTCTAGAATCTAAGTGGTGGTTTAGTGTTTATAGAGCAGAGTGTCTGTCTCTCAGACCTCAGAATGTCATTCTGGATCCCTGGGCAATACTTTAAACCTCACAATGCTCCCTGTGTGTTAATAAGTGCAGCTGCCCAAGGCTCCCTCAGGGATGAGTTAAGCATAAAGGACACAATTCTTCACTTTGTTTTATAAACGGATATTTCCATTTCCTCTTCTAGAATGGGTGGAAAGTATCCTCTTAGAGTGAAAGTTTTAGTCGGAAGGTTAAAACTTGGACAGAAGTGGTAAATAAATGGAATTTACTGAAGACTTTTTTTGTCGCACTGTTCACTTAAAACAAGAACCAATCGCCTCACAATCGCGCACCCGTATGCAGGGTTCGGCCGGGAACCTCTGGCAGAAATGAACTGGAATCATCCCAGACTTTTCAGATTACAAGGACAACATTCTACCCTCTAACCTACCCCAATATGGTATGTCATCAGTACCATGAACCCACAGGTTAAAGCATGCTAATTACCCTCTCAAACCTCCTCCCTCAACCATTTTGTAAACTTATGGATTAGACTTTAAAGTCCAAAGAGACCAAACTAACTTAAATGAAATAAAAAAATGAAATACAAATGTAAGACCTTGAGGAGAATCGATATCACCCAGGAAATGCCTGGTCAGTGCATCTCTAGAAACAAGGCAGTTTTACTAATAATACTCAGATCATTAAATATGCTACTAATAAAAAACATATTTGAAATACAACAGCTTTTTACAATACATAATTTATTGTAAGAGGTTTGAGTATTTAACTCAAAAGTTTAGCCCTAGTTATTTTAATACATATGGTTCCTACAAAAAAGTCTCAGTGGCAACATGCTTTGCAATCAAGCTCCTAGCGTCCCTCTACTGTTGCACAGGGTTGAGTCTGTGGCTCCAGTGCGTTTGCAGCATTGCCTCCTGTTGCAGACTAACAGGAACTGCCAGGGCCACATGGTCTATGGAGTAGCAGCAGATTTACTGTCAGGTCCATGGTTGTAAAGTCCAGCGAATCTCACAGATTCAGACTCGAACAGTACCGAGTAGGTGAGTGGGGGGGGGGGGGGCATTCTTTGTTCACTCATCGCTGATGTCAGGAAGCTGCTTCTCTATGAACTGCTTGACGTCAATCAATTCCTGCAGAGGTAGAAAATGATGCAGACTATATCTCTGACTGAATGAGAGGTTTTGTTACTCAGGCAGCGCCGTCTGCACACTGACCTCTGGGCGCACACTGTGAGGTAGGCCCCGGTACGATTTAAAGGTGATGTTGGACGGGTTGATGAGGCTTTTCATCTTCTCTGCCGTCTGGACACCAAACATAAACGGGACCAAGTTGTCGGCTTCCCCGTGGCATTGTAGGACATGCATGTCCTTGTTAGCACTGTTGGCTGCCGCCTAAGGATAAAAGAGATTAGGACTGTTCTTATGATCCAATTAGGACAGATTATGAGCAGGAATGGAATACCCCTACAGTGTATTTTCATTGAAGGGGTGGTTCAGCAAAAAAAAATTATTTGTGTGTTAATTTTTAAGAATATTTTCCAACTTTAAGGTCACTTTCTGCTCCAGAGTATTAGTGTAAACTCATTCTTACTAAATGCTAAAAATAAAAAAGGTTTTATTATGTCTTCCTACCTCAGGGAAGGATTTACGGAGGGGAAGCCAACAGCTCAGAGCGACCACACCGGCGAGCTTCTTCTGAGATGTCAGAGCCGTGTAGAGAGATAAAGCTCCACCCTGAGAAAAGCAAATCAATAGTTATTAAGAACAAATCATTACTTTCACCCACACAGACAAACACATTTCCAAATTAGAGGAGAAGCCGAGTTTAGGACTATTAGCTTCTGTATATTATAAAAAGATTCTGTATTCATGTCAAAAAACTGTTTATATTTTCTAAACATCCAAAAAAAAAAAATAACTTATTTCAAATGTCATACTTTTCCAGGCTTTTAAAGGGACATTCTATATAAACTATAAAAAAAAGGAACCATTTAAGCCATCATTTATATACATTTTGAGCTTTTAATTGCCAAGGTTTATTCAATTTTTTTTCATTAAAATAATTTCTTAACCACTATAGCTTTACATTTTAAATGATTTGTTTTACTTTTGTTTTGAAATGATCAACCTATTTCATATCTTTTAAACACTGTATCAAACATTTTAATGATTAAAATGAAAACTGAATTTAGTGAATTTCTCCATCTTCCCTGACAACTGATCAGCTACAGGGAAAGTGAACCATCTTCCTGTTTGTTAAATATATAAACAGTAAAAAATTCGCTAGAAAAATTCTTCCCTGGATCTTCGTTTTATAGAAGCTACCTTAAAGAGCCCAGCAACAGCAACCTTCATTTGATTATCCTGACCAAATAAGCTAATATTTAGAGTAAAATAAATTTTAGCCAAGTTCTCAGCCAAAGCCTTACACTTTAAATTAGTTGATTCAGACAAATACATGTTATATAAACAATCTTGTATATGAGACTTAAATAACACAGTTTCAAAACATGGCACAAGTACCTGAGAAAACCCCCCCAGGATAATTCTGTGTGAGGGAATCCCATTCTTCACTTCTTGATCTATCAAAGCTTTAACTGCAAAACAAAATTAGGAAAAAATATATCAATGGAAAACATGGGCACAAAGCAGGACAAAAAAAAAAAAAACATCTGATTAATCCTGATTTACTGATTGCTGAAATAACTGTTTGCTAATTTAGTTATAAATAAAGACAGGCTCTAAAACCTGCCATTTTCTAAAAAGAACAATCTACCCGAAGCAGTAATTAAGGCAAACCTGAATAAACATTTAAATGCAATTTTGCATTTAAAATGTTAAAAATTATGTATCCTTCAGAGGTATTGTTTAAGCTTCACCCGGCTCCAATACTGTAAAAAAGAAATGTTTTAATAAAGCTACTTTTGCTATCTGATTATTCTTTGAATGATTTAAAAAAAAATATTGACAGATTAATCAATTATCAAAATAACCTTTACTTGCAGACTTGGTGCAATGCTTGTTTAACTCTTAAATAAACGTACTGTTCTTTGAAGCGCTCTTGATGCCAGCCTCATCCTCATCTGCATCTGGGCTCAGAGAGTAGATATCAAACCTGTAAATAGTAGAATAAACACAAGTTTTTTTCCATCAGCCTGAAAAAAAACACAACACTCCGCTGCAGCAGTGTCATATTTCCATAAAACTACCAAATAGTAAATGGCCTGTGCTTATATAGCATATTTTTAAGTCAGAAAACTTGACCAAAGCGCCATACACTGGCGCCACCAGTCCCTCTGACCACTATCAGTAGACAAAGCAGTTGAAGTTGGTTCCCAAGGATACAACGACACTGGAAGCTGCAGCCGGGTGCTTGAATCGACAACCCTCTGGTTGCCAGGGTAAACTCCTTCAGCCGACGCCACTGTTGCCCAAACAAGCAAAAGCTGCGCCATAACAGCGATATAGTATGCCTCCCTACTAGAAAACTTAAATGATAACAACTCATGCATTAAATAATCAGCTAGTGACAGGAATCAGAGATTTATTGCTCTCCTGATATCAGTGGGAAAAAATAAAATCTCTTTTCAGTCAAAACATTGTATCCAGGAGTAAGCAGGTCATGCTCAAAACACAGCTGACTGTGTTGATAATGTTTAAGAAGGAAGGAAACTCCCAAGTTGGATACTTACATTTAAAGATGAAGTTGAAAGTTTTAAAAAGTTAGATTTTTTTCTAGCTGCTCATTTAGCTTGTCTTTCTCTTGAAGAGGTTGATTATAAAATAAGGTATAGAAATGTTGGCAACTTTTTGGAAATCTCGCAGTCGAGCTCATCTCCTATTAAACACATGAACTATGTTTTAGTAAAACTAGTCTTTCTAAACCATTGATCGGAGATGTAAAGAAGAAGTTTAATATATCAACTCGATAAAAATGTTGTTTGAAATATGAATGAAATTGTTTCTCAATCAAAAAAGGAGGCAACTTTAAACAGTTAATGATTGATCACGACAGAAATCTGAAAGGCTCTTGTAAATTGACATTAAAAGAATGAATGATTTAACAATATGACACATAAAAGCAAAGAGTTTTTTTTCTAAAATAAATATATCCTAAAAACCAATCTATTACCACATCTACATGTTGAGTTGTAAAAAAAAAGGAAGTAAAATACAATTTAGATTTTGAAAGAGAAGGAAATATGCTTCATTGGATCGTATGTAAAGGTAAGGCTGCACAAAAACCTGCAAGATTTGAATATATTTCTAGAGTTTAATTAATGCTCTGGCAAAAAAAAAAAAAAAAAAAAAAAAGACTTGTCAATTCAAATCCCTCCAAAGGTTTTATAAAAATAAAACATTTTACTAACTCTAGTTCTTAAAAAGCAAACATGAGTAATCAATAATTTGTTTTCTGTAAAAAGAAAGAATAGAAAGCACATCCAAAAATCTCAATAGTTTGCCATTTTCATACCATAATAAAAATAATCAAACATCCAATTTAAGAATTTAATAACACCAATAATTAGAATAATAAATAAATGACTATTAAATCAGGGAATGGACTGAGACACTCACCAGGAAGGCATGGACATCCTCATGTTCAGAGAAACTGGCATGGTGGGACTGCAGGTTAAGACAGGTTTCCATCAGTTAATGTGAATTAAAATAAAACTATTCTGCCAATAGAATATGAGGACTTACGCATGAGGAAATATATATTTCACATGAGGTGTTCTGATGCCCGCGAATTCCTCTGCCCAGCCATGCCTATCAAATGTTAAACAACAAATAAACTCAAGTGAAACATATTCGGCTCTCCTTTAATATCAACAATTCTATGAGGTTTTCACATACCCGGTATCACCAAGGCCATGCAGAAAAATGACCTATAAAACAGAACAAACAGGTCTAAAACCATGCAGGTATGGACTGACAGCTGCCAGCATGAAGCAGCAGCTGTATTTTTTTCCGACCTGTCAGAGGAGGGCTCGATAAACTCACCGCCGCGGTTGCTTTCCGGACAGCAGGCACTATGGCAGGTAGAGGAGTTGACATGTTGTTACCGCACATACAGCTCTGAGGCAGCTACAAGTTAGCCCCTCTCGGCTCAATACTGACACCAAGTAGGACTTTACACAGCAATAAACCCAAAGACGAAGGAGAATATTTCTGCTGTGAGCTACCCGGCTTGTTTAACTGAATCCAGATTTTCCTTCTGGAAGATGAAAATCCGTTGTATCGGCTCTCCAGAAGCTCCCAGGTCTGCCTGACTACAAGCTGTAGTGTCTGACCGCTTTAGCCCCGCCCCTGGAGCGTTCTGATTTGTTCTTCTTTGTGAGGTTTAATGGCGGTTAGCAAATAACTTAAATGCACATTATCGCCACCTACCGGTATGGATTGTGGAACAAAATGACAGTATTCTAGCTAATTACCTGCTTTACTTTATATCCTAAATATAATAATCGAACATCCTGTATCTTTATCTGATATTAATACTATTTATAATTAAAAATTATGAACAATCAGAAATCCTTATGTCTCATTCTTAATTTAATCACTAAATTATTCTACTGTCCCTTTTATCTATTAATTTTATTATATTTTCTAACCCATCCATATATTAATTAAATCACTGTCGATTTACTATTAAATTAACTATTAAATATCTTAAATTGTTTTGTATAATGAACACCTGAACCAATACCCAGATGTTTCTTTTCTTCCACCAGATGTTCTACTTCTTCCATCCATCTCCAACCATGTTACACAAATAACTTCTTTGAGTCCCAAAAACTTTTCAGCTCCTCTGGCAATGATTCTGATTTTCTCTATCTTATGCTTGGGTTGGTCTGTGCAGTTAATATTGACATGCACTGTGAATAGAATGAGTTTCTCTGGTGTTGGAGTGAAATGAACTTCTCTTTCTGCTTTATTTTGCTTTTGTACCTGATTCTGTATTTGATTCATTTCTCCATATTTGATTGATTTCTCCAGTCCTTTGTCTTAGAACTCTCTTCTCTGATTGTGTGTAGATTATATTTGTTGTTATTTTAACCTGTTGTATCTCCACTGCCTTCTTTCTCACCTCACATCCTTCATAGTTGCATTTTGAACACCTTTGCCCTCCCCTACAGACTGCTGCCATGTGTCCATAGCGCTGACACCTGTAGCACCTGAGTGGAGGCGGAATGAACGGCTTAACTGTTTTAACTATTTTAACTCTCTCTGGTAGAACTGACTCTGGAAACTCTATCAGCAGTGACATGCTTGCCACACCTTTTACCTTGTTTGTTTTTATAAAGTCTCTGTATTTTGTTAACGTTGCCTCAAAAACTTTCATCTTTAATCAATCTAAATCCTCGTTAATTGGTATCCCTGTTATTACTGTCCTTTCACTTTTATCTGTGTCACCTCTCTTTTCCCTGGGTCTTCAACATCAAATGTTTTTTATTTTGCTTTTTTCCATCTCTCAAATCTTCACTCTTTCGACTTCCCCAATTTTCTTAATTATTTCTCTGGAAATCAAAATGGGCTCAAATGACTTTTTTTTCCCTTGCATTGAATCTAAAAATTACTTTTAGCTCTTCTCTGACAATCTTCCTTCGCACAACTCCTTCTTCAACTGCTTTTGTCTAATTCCCGTTTATTTCCTTGATTCTCAATCCCCCTTTCCTCCTTTTCCCTCCTCTATCTCTCTCTTTCCTATTTGAAACTGTTGTCCAATCTTCCTCATTCTCATCTATTGCCATTCTGTTCCATCCACCGACTTGTCACCATTTTCCTCATATCAATATTTGTCTGTTTTGTGTCTTTAACTTCTTCCTCCCTGATTTCATCATCAATATTCTTTATCCTCTATCTGTGTTGTATCCTTCAGATCTCTGGTATCTCCATCATCACTATTTGTATTGTCTTTATCTTAGATATAACAAATAACAGTAGCATTATACAAGCTTAATATAATTATACCGTGTACTATATTGTATGATAAGTGGCCCAAATGTATCATCAAATAGTAGGCTAATGCCATCCAGCAGCACATGGCTTGATTGAAGGAAAAAGGTCTATGGTTGTTAAATTAAATTGCTGGTGAATTTAAACCTTTAGACTAAATTTTCTGTAAAAAATTCTCTGGAACAATCTAAACTAAGTTAATTCCAACACATACACAATAATTGTTAACATTCTAAATAGCCGATATTTGCATTCGGAACGGACTATGCAGGCGCTGCGTGCAAGGGCTGGCTTCTACATGTTATCTTTTTATATATTTTTAACTTTTTTTTTTTTTTTTGGGGGGGGGGGGGTTGAAGTAATAGATTATTTTAAATATTGTAGTCTGCTTTACTTGTTTGTGTGTAATCCTTTAATCATTCATTCTTAATGATTTCTTGAGCATTAATTTATGATAATTAATAATCAGCTTTAAGCAATAATCAGTAAAAAGTACTATGCTGTTATATTATTCCGAAAAGTACTTCCTTTTTATAGTAACTGAGTAAATGTAACTAGTCATCCCATCTCTTATTTTCGCGGCCTTTAAGGATGGAGAGTTTATGCTTTTACTTTGAAATTCTTACAACAAACACATCCTCTCCTGGCTTGTCACGTGACCCCTGTGTCCTTGGTTTGCCAGCTTTGACATGTGAGCAGCAGCAAACATGTCTCTCACTAAAAAACCCGGCGCTAAAGCTTTGGATGTTTTGCAGAATCTACCTAGAATATCTTTAGCGAATCTACGACCGGAACCAGGATCAAAGAAAGGGGTGAGTTCTTTTTTTTTTTTTTACACCATGTATCGATGCTACGAGCTAGCATGGCTGCAGCAGATGTAATGTAACAGTTGCCTAAGTTATTATTTATTGTTTTTCTCAATACAACTTTATTTGTTTCTGCAAAGAACATTACAGAGCAACCATATTGCACTATAGGTATTCTCAACAACCATTTTTACAGACATTTTCAGCAAGTAGTTGCCTGGGTTATGTGAGCGTGAATGAGCTGATGTGACGTCAATGTTGTGTTGCAGGATAAGCGGCGAGGCAGAGGACAGCACGGGGGGAACAGGAGCGGTAGAGGCCACAAAGGAGAGCGGCAGAGGGGGAACATACCTCGGCTGGGCTTTGAGGGGGGGCAGACCCCCTTCTACTTGGTGGTTCCCAAATATGGCTTCAATGAAGGCCACAGGTAAAAAGAAAACTCCTTTTAAACTTAAGGAGACTAAACCCTGGGTATTTGACAAGGTTACCTCTATTATTAGTAGGTATGTGACAAATAAATTCAACATTACTTAAAATAAGACATCTTAGGAATATGTGGCCCAACAGCTTTAAAATTATACCAAGAGTATTGTTCTAGGATAAATATGAATGAAGATGTCACTATTTAAAATCACTGTCTTAGTACTAAAACTATAGGAACACATCTTCAACCACTTTTCACCTGCTATTGCTTATAACTTCATCATAGCTCATTGAGATTTTCAGGACTTCTAAATTGTATAAATTACTTCCTATATTCCAAATAAAAAGTAAAAAACAATTCTTAATCAGCTATTTTAATCACTCATTGCAATCTACCGACAGTGGAATATGCAATATATACAATATAAGAGATTAAATACCATTTCCATAACCTTTTGTGAACCAAATTGTTATATCTATAAAGTTAATCTGAACCTCTCCAATGAAATAATACAAATGAATTAAATCAATTTTCAGAGGGTTGAATTTGCTGAGGAAAACACAAGTACACGTATGTCAGGGTTTGGTTGAGGTTTTTGGACCCAAATACAGAGGCAGGGGTGAGTTTCTTGAAGATTTAATTGAATAAACACAGGTAACAGAGGCGGGAATCCAAAAATCCAACATGAAAAATGTAAAACAAACCAGAACCATGGCGACATCAGGGGAAAACAGTCACAATGAGCCAGGGTAAGATGAAGAACCAGCACTGAGGAACTGCACAAGGAGAGTATTCATAGTAGACTGAGCAAAGAGGACTAACGAGCTGATTAGGAGCAGGTGTGAAGGAGGAGTCTTGGAAGGAGCTAGGGAAAAGAAGACCAACACAAGAGGGCAACAAATAAAAACCTAAGGACTGAAATATATCCAGAAAATACAACAAAATAGGAATAAAACCAATAAAACTAGAAAGCATGGATCAAAGTAAAACATAATAGAACCAAGACCGTGACAACATATGTATATTTTTATAATACAGGTAACTTAATGACATAGTTCCTCTCCAGAGTTTAACTTAAATTGCAGATATGCTGTATTCTATTGTTTTTTTTATATATATATATATTATTACTAGTCACATATAGTAGTAACTCTGTGAAGATATGAGATTGGCAAGCCATTGGCGAGATGTGTGTTGAACCTGATTTGTACAGTAGAAATGAGCGATGACGCCATTTAGTGATCTGCAAAAATGTTTAGGGAAGCAAGGACACCATGTGTGAATTGTCAAATCATGCTCAAACTTCTCAGAAATAAACTATATTATATGGTCTTAAGGGAGTATCTACTATACTATTAAAGAAGTTACCAACCTTTGATAAGAATTCAGTGGCCAAATTTAAGGTATAACTACAAAGATTGATAACAGCACTTGTAGTAATCAGACCACAGAATTTTGAAAGCAAGGTTTCACTGGAAGATGCTTTCTAGGTCACTGAATACTGAGCACTACATTGTATCTGTAAGTAAGTGATTTCACAAGTCATTACAACCAACCGTGATGCACAGTGTGGCTTCACTAGCAGTGGTCAACAACTAGCTATACTATCCGCTGATCGTCACGTCCATATTATTATTGCCACAAAGGATAATTATCTAAACTGCACTGATTGCTCTTATTTGACAAACTGGTGCATTTTGTATTTACCAGTTAACCTTCAGATTATTTGTTTAGAGTGATGTATAATTCTTTTTTTCTGTCTAGACACAAGCTAAAGTTTTATTAATGTTTAACAGGTGATATTCCACCAGAGGTCTGAGATTACGTATATTCAGCGTAAATAGATGCAGTTATCTTTGGAAAATTCTACCTTCACTATTCCTGAAATTCAGAGTCAAGCTGACTACGATCCTGGTTATCAATTCATCCAAAGCTTTTGACTTTTGGGGAATTATTTGTTAAATTGAAAACATAATTGTGAATATTAATTCAGCCTATCTGTGTTTTTCTAAAGCTGTCAGCTGCCATTACCAGTTTTCCTTTATCCAAACCTTTAATATAAAACAAAATAAAAAATAAGAACTGCATTAATTTTATGATATTGTGGAAAATCTTGGAGTTTTGCTGCATC